TGCTGTGGTTCCCAGGATATATTGGTCGCACGAGCCGGCGTTTGTCCAAAAGTGTACGAGGACACATTCCAGCGTGGTGAAGAAGGAGCCAACTAAAGGGTGTAAAGATTTTTATTCTTGCGCACCTGGTAGACTCACACCATCGCGTGGATGCCTTCCAAGTGGTGTTAAAGGTACCCTCAAGCTATTCAAAATCTCTTGGACAGCGTCTGTTGGCTACAGCAAAAGCGGCCGCTATCAGACCACGCTGGCCGGTCCTGTGCGCGTAGTTTATTTACTTAATTACCATATAAATGTAAAGGCCTGGGAAGAATTTATCGAAAACAAACGTATGTTCGCCAATTCATCGTCTGAAATTTTCAAGGGGAATTTTTGTAAAAATGCAGTAAGTGTAAAAGTAAAACGAGCATACTCAAACGAGGCGTTGCGATCGGAAGAAATCTGTTCGTTTTTGGCACGATACCCGAGCAGCCTACTGTTACGGAATGCTCAACGACCAGACCATATATAGACCTGAGTTACAATAAATTTTCGGGAAAATAAAACAAATGCTTTCCACCGCAACATACCCCACACTACGTTTAAAGCGCCGTTAGAACTGCTGAGTCTTATCAAAAGGATTGTACCTCTCTCTAGCTTACCTAACTCGGTGATTATATAAGGGTTGCTCGTCTTTTTAGCAAATGCCTGCTTTTTCGCCTTTTGTGGTCGACAACTACTAGTTACTTGTTCCGAAATTTTCTGAAACAAATGAAGCAAAAATTAAATGGGCACCTGAGTCAACTAGGCATACACAGCCATCATTCGATCCCGGTAAAACTCCTGGGATTGGCGTCGAAATAGATTGATTATCAGACCGTTGGCTGTTAAGGAATTCGGAAAGACGATTTGAGGTCGTACCTTGTAACTCCTCCAAATTCCGAATCGACCATGTCCGTAGTAAACAAAGACCATAACCATACAGGTTACACCCTCCTATCACAAACGTATAGACATGTCCAGGACATTGTACGGTCGTCAGACATGTTCACCACTGTAATAATTTAAGGCATTTTGCTACTCATTTCAAAGCGAACGAAAAAAGGAAACTAGTGATTGGGAAGAAAGTTTGTAGAAAAGTACGCGCGTTTTAGGTACTTTATACTTAGGCATTTATCACTTCTTATGAGATATTCTCCGACTGACTACATTTGTCTTCATACTGGAACTTTTGCTTTGCTAGTAAAATGGCCCACCAGAAGACTCAGACGTTTGAAGACGAACTGCCGCTTGCGCGAAGCCTTCCCGAATTAGATGACCTTCGCATGGCCGGCAAGCTGACCGACTTAACCATAGAGGTACGTTTGGTGCGTAAATCGCTAGCTCACTTGTCATTTCAAGCTACAAGACAACGCCCTACTGCATGCACACAGGGTTGTCTTGGCTTCCCGTGTGCCGTCACTATGTGATACCCTATGTGGAACGACTACAAAAGGCCAGACTGAGGTGCTCAAGTGGCCAAAATTTTCTTCAGAGTACTACCTCATGTTATATTACGACTGTGCTCTAGAGTTGCTACAGCATTCGTGGATTATATTTATAGAGGCCAGCTTAAAGTCAACGAAGCCAATGCGGTCGGTTTGATTATGCTGTCACAAGAACTCGAAATACGGCAAGTGGAAGCCTGGTCAGTGAGTTTTATGGCTTGCAGGTAAGCGACCTTGCGTTATCATTGGATCGCAGGCTGAATTCTGAAAACATTGCAAATAACTGGGCGCTTGCACAGTTACTAAAAAGTGACATGTTAAGCGCCGCCTGCCTGAATTACATGAAGTGGACCTTTGAGGTCACAGTTGCCAGCAATTTATTCATTCAGCTGCCATCTGACGCTCTCCTCTCCCTGCTGTGGGCAGATGACCTTCAAGTGGACAGTGAGGAGACCGTCCTCAATGCGATCGGACGATGGGTCAGTCCACTCGGCGAAGTGGATGAAACACGATTGCTACACGCGGAGGCAATGATGAGGCATGTGCGGTGGAATCAAATTAATGTCGAAATCCTACACCGGTTACGTGATGATGACAAGGGCTTCTGGAATAAAAATGTGGGATGTTCGTAAGTTGTCCGAACACATTTAGCTATTTAAACAATTTAAGACGACTTCTAGGTCATATAATCAGTTGGATCACATGTCCAGACAGGAACAGGAATAGCGAATGTCCGTTTTATATGTGGCCCCGAAATCCACTGGGGAAAATCTGTCTGCTCGGCACGGCATGGCCCGGAGGGCAACGTTTGCTCAGGCGATACAATAGTGAGAGAGGCACATCACAGAAGCTAATGGACGTTATGCCCGGATTGGATCTAGCCTTTGCGGCCAGTAAAAGTAAGTGTTCGTTACTCGAGATTTCGACAACCTTATCTCTGTTTTCTTTTATTTTAAATGGTCGCGGCACCTAACACACGATGATCAGGAGATGGTCCAATTTTTCTAAGTATCCTACTAACAGAATACAACACAAAAAACATGAACTTTGGTTTTTCTGTGGTGAAGTTCGCGTTGGGCAAGTGCCTTTTGTTGAACTCTTTATACGCGGCATTTTGCCGACTTCCGGTTAAGTTCAGCGAACCCCACGTTGGCAGGAAAAACTGTTAAAATGGTACGCTTTTGTCATAGCCTGTCAGTATCAGCCTGCCGTCGCGTATAAATATCCATATCCTACTAGATCGACGCCTTATATTTAATGTACTTAGCCCTCTCCATTCACCTTTTTTTCCTACTCCGCTTGTCGTTACCCCAAAACAGATTGCATCTTTGTAATTGGCGGATACGAGCAGGACGGCAACTATACATACGTTGATAAATTTGATACGAGGGAACACCGATGGGCTGAATAAGCACCGCTCTCCGAGCGGCGGGAGAAGCATGCAGCAGTCGCTGTCCCAGTTGGTGAGGAGACTGTGATATGCGTGTGTGGAGGCAGAAACAACAAATATAACTCACTTGGCGAATGTGCGCTCTATTCTCCACACGAAGACAAGTAAGTATGTCAGATGGCATAACTGAGTGATAGAGATGTGG